CCCCGGTTACACTATAGGCTGACTTTTCATCAGAACTGTGGAGGCCAGAAGGCAATGGGATAACATACCCAAATTGCTGAAAATAAGATGAAAACGTCAGCCAAATTTGTATCCAACTAAAATAACAAAAATTTTTCAATAATGAAGGCATAATTCACGCAGTTCCTGACAAAAGCTGATGGAACACGTTGTGAGCAGATGTGCCTTAGAATAGATATTAAAGGAGTTCCTCAGTCTGAAAACAAGAGGGACCAGACAGTATTTTGAATCCACATATAACAAGGAAACAGAGAATATTGATAAGGGTAATTAAATAAGTAATGATTTAAAAAGTATAGTTGCAAATTTGTATCCTTCTAATTGAATTAAAAAGTAATTGCAAAAATAATACTACTTAATTTATGATAGTATAACATGATGATAATGATCATTATAATCATTTTATTGTTGATCATATGGCTTATGTAAATGTCATATAATTAAAAATAATAGTCCGAAGGAGGTGGGTGGGGACAGAGCTGTGTTGGAGTAAGGAAAGGACACCAGATGGTAACTTGAATCCACAGGAAGAACCTAAACTTAACAGAAATGTTAAGTAAGATGCATAACATAACAAACTATAAATATATGCTCACTCTCCTTTCTCTCTCAAAGTCTTTAAAAGACTAGAGTTACATAAAACAATTATTACAACAATGCATTGGTGAGTTTGTGCCATATGCAGATGTAAAATGTTTAATAATAATAGTACAAAACAGAAGGGCAAGAGAATGGAACTACATAGAAGTAAAATTGCTATATTACACTAGTATTTATTTAGTGTAAATAAAATATAATCTTGATAAAGTAAGATTTAATACATGTTAAGCCTTACAGTGACCACTAAAATAATAATTAAAATATATAATTATTAAATTAAAATGTCACACTAGAAAATAATGACTTCATCAAAATAAAGCAGTAAAGGAAGATGAGAGAAAAAAATGGCATGAAACATGTAGAAACAAAAAGAAGAATGGCTAATGCAAATCCATGCAATAATAACATTACATGTGAATAAACAATGAACGTGAGAGACACAGATTTTCAGACTGTATAATGAAACAAGGTTCAGCTTTATTCTACAGGAGACATACTTCATATACAAAAATATACACCACACAAATAGCAATCATAAGAGAGTTGGAGTGGCTATACCAAAATGAGAAAGAAATAAACTTTAAAATAAAAAAGTTACTAGATATAAAGAACATTTCCTAATGACTAAAGATCAATCCATAAGAAAGACGTTAACACTTAGAAACATCTATGCACGTCACTTCGGAGCTCAAAATACATGAAGCAAAACCTCACAGAATTGAAGGACTGTTTAGACAACCTGACACTTTTGATAATGGGTAGTAGGACTAGGAAGAAGGTCAATCAGGAAACAGTGACTGGAATGGCTGTAACCCAGCTGACATCTACAGAGCACTGCCCAACAAGAGCAAAGCCTACATTCTGCAGTGCACATGGAACGCGATCTTGGAGAGACTATAGGCTAGGCCATAAAACAAGCCTCAATTTAAAAAAATACAGATATTTAAAGTATACAGGGCGTGTTCTCTGAAACCATGGAATTCAATGAAAAATCACTCTCAGAAGAAAATTAGGGAAAATTTCCAACTATGTAGAAATGAGACAATCTACCCTTAAACAACCAATGAGTCCAAGAAGAAATCACAATGGAAATTAGAAAACGTTTTGAGATCCATGAAAATGAAAACACAACGCACAAAACCCTATAGGATGCAGCGAAAGCAATGCTTAGACATTCTACCCTGCTTCCGAAGCATGAACAGCGTCACGGTCGAGAACCCTGCCCTGCAGTGCCCAGAGCTTCCTGGCAGCTTTCAGCGCAGTACTCTTAAACATGAGCTGAAAACCAAGGGCGATCAGACAGCCGACGGAGCCTGTCATGTGGCAGAGATCAAAGCAGGCAGGAAACACATAGAGAGGAAACAAACATAGGGAGAGGGAAAAAGAAACTGTCAATAATATCCTCAGAGACATAAGGGAAGACAACACTGTGACAAAGCTATAAAGAGAATATCATAGAAATTTAAGTGAGAAAATAGACATCCAGAGAGTTCATATGCTAGAGTCTTCGTGGAATGGAAGTGTGATAATGACAGACCATGGGGCTGGATGGGTTCCAGTTCTCATTTCTCATTCACCTTTTTCTTTTTCTTTTTTTTTTTTTTTGAGACGGAGTCTTGCTGTGTCGCCCAGGCGGGAGTGCAGTAGCACAATCTTGGCTCACTGCAACCTCCACCTCCTGGGTTCAAGCGATTCTCCTGCCTCAGCCTTCTGAGTGGCTGGGACTACAGACTACAGGACTAAAGTAAAAATTTACTACACGCCCGGCAAATTTTTGTATTTTTAGTAGAGACGGGGTTTCGCCATGTTCTCGAACTCTCGACCTCAGGTGATCCGCCTGCCTCGACCTCCCAAAGTGCTGGGATGACAGGCGTGAGCCACCGCGCCCGACCTCTTAGTTACCATTTAAGGGGATGCACAAGGGAGAAAGTTCAGGATGTGCCAGGAAATTCCTATTCTGAGCTTTTAGTATGCAGTGTCTACGGTGGTCTGTTGGTGTATTAGTTTTCTATTAGCGTTGTAACAAATTGCCACAAACGTAGTGGCTAAAAATGACACAAATTTAGTGTCATACAGTTCTGGAAGCAAGAAGTCTAAAATCAAGATGTTGGCAGGACCCCATTCCTTCTGCGGGCACCAGGGGAGAATTTCTTTCCTTGCCTTCTCCAGCTATCAGAGCTACAGGCATTCCCCGGCTTGTGGCCCCTTCTTCCACCTTCAGGCTACATCACTCCAACCTCTGCTCTGTACTCATCTCTCCTTTTTCTGAATTGATCTTTTTTTCTCCTCATGAGACCTTTGTGATTATGTTGGGCACACCTAGATAATCCAAAACACTGTCTCAAGGTTCTTAACACAAGGTTCTCACATCTACAGAGTCCCCTTAGCCACGAAAATTAACACAGTCCCAGCTTCCACAGATGAGGGGTTTGGGAGACCGTTGTTCAGCCTACTAAGCTGGCATTTGATAATTTCCACAGCTAGAGCTTACTGAATATCTGCTCTGTTCTAGATCCCATTGGTGAAGCCGGGGACACAGAGCAGGTGAGAACAGCCTCTGCTCTTGAGGAATTCACGGTCGCATGGGGGTCACACAAGGTAAGATAAGCAGGCACCTGTGATGTCTGCAGGACCACGTTCTGGGCAGACTTCTGCAAGCGGCGGAGAGCTGATGCAGACATAACCCTTGCCTTCAGAAAGATTAAAATCCAGTTGGGGAGAACACTTGGGAACAGACGTCGCTGGTGCAGTCAAGAGCGCCATCTCTGGCTCCTACACAGACGGTGGTTTCACTGTTTTATGGGGAGTGCATGTTAAAATCCCCTTTTCTCATTGGAAGGAAGCCCCCTAATAGTAAAGCAAGCTTCCAGGGCTTCCTGATCCATTTCAATTGATAAAAATCTCATGTTCTTTAAAAATTCAATCGTGTTCCTCTTAGAGCCTAAGCGTCGTGAAACCTTCTTTCCCCTCTGCTGAGCGCAGGCTGGATGCCTGGCTCTGGTCTTGAGTGGACAGGCTGAGGGTGGGGAATATGGTACCCCTGGGCACCAGCCCCCATCATCTCACAGAGGGAGGGAGGACAGAGGCCAGTGGTCCTGACTCTCCCTCCCGTGCACGCTGCCTGGCAAAGTGTGGACTCTACTGTTTCTCTGCCTGCCACCATCTGGCCATTGGGTCCCTCGGTGTGGGGAGCATTTGTCCTTCTTTTGGGGCCTGCGGGACCCTCTCCCCACCTCAGGCATCTTCCACTTTGCTGCTCCTGCATGAAGCACCCGCTATTCCTACTTCTTGTTGCAGGGGGCCCGTGCCAAGGTGCTTTCAGGGGGCTCTGCCCATGGGAACACAGCCCCCTCTCAGCTCTGTGGTTTCCTTCCTACCTTTTCCCCCCACCCTAGCCATTTTAGATGCCTGCTCATTCCAGAGACTCCTCAACTCCCAGCAAGAGGTGCTCTCCAGCCCAGGCTGGTGCTGTGACCTCAGAGAGGGCCCTAAATCCTCCCTCCCTCCCTGGACGTAACCAAGGGAGTTGCTTCTCTTAGCAGCCAGTGTCCTTTTGCACAGAAAACATTTGAGAAGCTCAACATTTAAACCAAAGCAAACACAAACTGTCCTTTCCAGCACCTCCTCAAGGGTATTCAGGGGAGTGAAACTCAACACCGGCCAGAGCTCTGTCTTCCCTTTGAAAGATTCTCCAGGCTTTTCATGCCCTGATCTCTCCAGAGCCTTTCATTTACCAGACCTGCCCCTATAAAGGACAAAATCCTCTCCCTAAGTCATTCACTGGGGCACCCCCTGGACCTCCGTGGCCATGTCACTGGGCCACACTTGCACTGAAATATTTGTAGTCCTACCTGGTGTATAGGGAGGGGAAATGGATGTAATAATAGTTATCTCCATCCTGACAAGCTTGGCAAAATATTATATTTCACCAATAGTAAACGACCTGGGAAGGACCTTGAAGTTCCTGGCCTCTGGCTGGGCACATGGTAGATCCACTGACGGGCTGCCAGGGTGGCAGAAGGAGATGCCTCAAGTGGAGGGAAAATGGCTGTGGGTAAAGGGGACCGCTGATCTCGGGCGTTTTGGGGGTTCCGTTTCCTGCGCTCAGCACACTTCTTTCGCCAACTTATTTGGCTTTATCCAAACCCAGTGGAGTTTTGGCCTCACATGCCTACCATCCCTCCTCCCTGCCTGCCACCAGGGCCTCCGTGTGGCCAGGTGCAGAGCCTTTCTCTGGTCTGTTTATCTCTGCTCTCCGTTGCCTCCCCAAGATAAAAGGCACTTGGGCCATAGGCAGCTCTGTGTAGGATTTGCTGTCAGAGCTATCTAATGAACTGTAAAGGACTCCTATAAAATGACAGGGCACAGCTGAGAGCAGGGCCCTAAAGGACAGTAACACAGGGGCCGTGGAAAATCATAATTCATTGTCCAAGCTCCCAGAGGCAGCTACTGGTTTCCCCGCAGCACACCAGGGAGCCACACAAACTGCTTCGTCAAATGACTGCTGGGACAGCCGGCACCCTTGTGGAATGAGTGCGACGCTCGCAGGACTCCCAGCGGTTCCTTCCTTCACCTGCCCTGCAGTGTGGGACCGTCTGAAGGTGACAGAGCACTCCTCACCTCCCCGGTGATAAAAGGAGTCACAGAAACTGAATGGACAATTTTCCTGCTAGACCATCCCTGGTACATCTCCATTTGGGTTGGATTCATAACATTTATAATAGAATTGAGCAGAGAAGATCTACTGCCTGTGATAAGAAGGTCAATGGCTGTCAGCCAGGCTTTATGATTTCTTCCTTTGCAAAAAAATATGTTTGGAAACGTCTCACTTCCATTTTCTCCTTCTCCGTTCATGCTAGATGACTCCCAGCATCGCCGTGTATGCATCAGGGCACCCGGAGTGTCCCCACTCCATTTTTATAGAGACATAGAAGCATCTTCATTAATGCTAGAGGAGAGAGCAACCTGGCCTTCAGAACGCATATCATCATGCTCTCTCTGTCCTCCTCGGAAAATGAAGTGAGCATATGTCCAAGTGAACAGGACAATGGCATTGGAAACCTGGGCACGGGGGCCACGGGCTGAATGATCACTGAGATTGCACCTGCATCAGCTAATTCTATCCCCACACACTTCGTGAAGTTGACAACCACGTTTATTGTTCTATTTTATAACGGAGGAAACTGAGGCACAGTGATACGGTGTGATTTACCCAGGAGCATGAGATTATCAAGTGGCAGGCTGGGTTTTGAAGCTGGGTCCATCAATTCCAAATGCAAGCCTTTAGCTCAGATCTTTCTCTGTGAGAATCAATTTGGCACAGATGCTACTGAAAGCATTTTATGACAACTGAAAATTCTTTATAACAGTTTAAGTAAGCATGTTCACATTATACACAGTATCTAAATTGGGTGTATGTGTGTGCGTCTGCCGTGGAGATATTTCAAAAACTGAACTACAGCTTCTTTCTGAACTCTTGATTGACAGACTCTATTTTACAATTTTATTTAAGTTTTTAATTTTTAAATATGTGCATTTGTCTTTCTAAATACAGCCCGAAAACAAAACAAGTGTGTCCGAAAGCAAGGGGCGGGAGCTGCATCCAGCCAAAGCCCAGCCTCTCCCTGAAGCCGCCTGGCCTGATGGTGTCCCCTCTTCTTCCGGTGCCTACAGCGGAGCCCTCAGGACCGAGACCTGGGCCCATCCTGCCTTCTGGGAGACCTCACCAGGATCAGGCTGTGTCCAACGCACAACACGGTGTTATTCACACAGTAAGTCATCAATTCCTGCCGATGTTAGTTATGACGAGGTATGAGGACTAGGGAGAGATTGCCTTTTATCTGTTCCATACAGAATGCTATTTCATAAAAAGCCTCGACTTGAGAGGAGATTCCATCACAACTTACAGAGAAACGTACATCAGAGTGTTGGGGTAGTCTCACATTTAGCCGTTTGCCGCTAACTGTGACTACGGTCTTGCAGTTTTAGGGAAGAACAAGACAGACCCAAGCAGTGCTGAAAGGCCAGCTTTGCCTTCCTGGCTTCCAGCTTTTCCTCTCTACTCTATAAAGATTCCGAAAAAGACACCAGCAACGAGGCTGGCGCGGTGGCTCACACTTGTAATCCCAGCATTTTGGGAGGCCAAGGCAGGCTGATCACCTGAGGTCAGGAGTTTGAGACCAGCCTGGCCAATATGGTGAAACCCCATCTCTACTAAAAATACAAAAGTTAGATGGGCAAAGTGTCATGCACCTGTAATCCCAGCTACTCAGGAGGCGGAGGCAGGAGAATCACATAAACCCAGGAGGTGGAGGTTGCAGTGAGGCAGAACAGACGTAATGGGGACTGTGACCACCAGAGGACCATGAGTGGAGATCGCGCTCAAAAAATAAAAATAAAATAAAATGACATCGGCAGCAAGAGCAAACCCATCCATTCCGATATTAGTAGATTATGCTAATGGCAGCCTTTCTCATAGGTGTGTATTGCTATTTCAGGATGGTTTTAATTTGAGAACAAATGATATCAAGCATTTTTCATGTTCTTTACAGCTTTTATCTCATTCTTTTTAGAAAATTGTCGACTTAAGTTTATTGCCCATTTGTCTTTTCAAAAGTGTAAGAATTCTTTACCTATCTTGTATAGAGGCCATTTTTGGTTATATGTGTTGAAAATATCTTCTCCTGTTTTGTGACTTGAGTTTTTACTCTCTTCTTGGTTTCTTTTGATGACTCATATTTCATGGTCTTAATGAAATCAATTTTCTCAGTCTTTTCCATTATGATTAATACTTTTGAAACATATTTAGAAGTTCTTTGCATACCCAAAAGTCATGGAACTATTTTCTTTAGTTATATTTGAGAGTGGTGTTATTATTATTTACATTGTACATTTAGACTTATAATATACCTGTGTACAGTATAAAGTAGAAGTATAAATATCCAACTGATCTATCACAATTTATTGACATTTTACCATTTTCCCAGGATTCTTTGTTCTACATCAACAAATTTGACACCTTTGTCATCCATCAGTCACCGTGGGCCAGTCTATCCTTGACTGTTCTGTTTCATCAGTCTGTTAATCTGTGTAATTTAGAAGCTTTTGTCCTGCAATTTGTTCTTTTTCAAGATTGTCTTAGCTATTCGTGGCCTTTTAAGTTCCATATACATTTCAGAATCAACTTGCAATTCTCCAGCAATCCTCCAAGTAGATTGATGAAGATTTTATTGGACATATATTTGAGGAAAATTGCTATTTGTATCTTCCAATCTGTGAATAATTCCTTACCGATTTGGCCCTTTGTGTAGGCTTTATTAATGTGTCACCTTGGCTAGGTTGTGATGCCCAGTGATTCAATCAAATGCTAATCTAGTTGTTGCTGTGAAGGAATTTTGCAGATGTAGTTGACAGTAAGTAAGAGAGGCTATCCTGAATAATCCGGGCAGGTTTGATGGAATCTGTTGCAAGGCTTTAAAAGCAGGGCCGAGGTTTCCCCAGGAGAGGGAAGACATATCAGCTGTGGATGAGAGCCTCAGACCTGCCACGTGCTTACTATTCCAATTGCCTTCCCTGCGGATTTTGGACGGGCCAAGCAGTCCCCACAAATTTATAAACCAATTCTGCATTTTATTTTTTACCCCTTCCAGAAGAATGAGTATGTTGTGCTGAGGGCTATGTCTTCAAATCCCATCACTGCTGATGTGTAATAAATATTTGTGATTGGCCGGGCGCGGTGGCTCAAGCCTGTAATCCCAGCACTTTGGGAGGCCGAGACGGGTGGATCACGAGGTCAGGAGATCAAGACCATCCTGGCTAACACGGTGAAACCCCGTCTCTACTAAAAAATACAAAAAATTAGCCGGGCGTGGTGGCGGCGCCTCTAGTTCCAGCTACTAGGGAGGCTGAGGCAGGAGAATGGCGTGAACCCGGGAGGCGGAGCTTGCAGTGAGCTGAGATCCAGCCACTGTACTCCAGCTTGGGCGACAGAGGGAGATTCTCTCTAAAAAAAAAATAAATAAATTAAAATAAATAAATAAATAAATAAATAAATATTTGTGGTTGTAGTCACTGAGATATTACCTTTGTTATGCAGAAAAGGTAATCAATACACTGAACTTCCACCTTGGGATGTTTTTCTTCTGTCTGTAGAGCACTACACTTCTGCAGTGTAGGCATGCTGGGAAGATAGTCTTTCAATTTTGTCAATCTGAAAACTTTTCCATTTTACCTGCATGTTGTTTTGCATTTTATTGAGGTATAATAAGCATATAAATTGATGAATTTTCACAGGGTTAATACACCTTGGTGGTCAGGACCCGGATGGAGAAGACTAACACAATCAGTGTCACAGAAGCCCCCTCACTACACTCTCTCGAGGTGGAAGCACCTTCCAAGTTCATGGATATCCTGACTGTAATTATTGATCAATTTTGCCTATTTCTAAACTTGACATGAAGGGGACTCATGCAGTGTGCATCTTTTGTAGAATTTGCTTTGTTCACCAATACTTCCATATTTTAAAAATAGTCATAATATATGATTACATTAAGTTTTACACTTTTATTGCATTAGATATATTTATTTAGCATATTTTTCCCTCCTCACCCTCGCCACAAGTATGTCTCTTTTTTCAACACCTGATTGTGCTTTTGGTGTTTTGACATGCTTTTGTGCACATGCTTTCTGATGTTGTGTGTCTCTTCTGTATCAGGCACTGTGCAGTCGAAGGGAACAGGTGTGACCAGGGTACTCCCTCACCCTTAATGGGGGATTGTCTGGGGACTACAGGTAAATAAGTAGTGTGATGATGGCTATAGCTAGTGTAAGCACAGGAGCCTTGGGTACTCTGTAACACGAATGCATGAAATAAACAATGAGCATTACTCCCTCTGAGGCAGCTCCGTGCACTTATTGCACACATCTTTATTACACACCCACTGGGTGTCTTCCCCTGTCCATGCCCTGGAGATACACAAACCTCACCATGTCCCAGCCCAGCTCTCTTGTAAGTTTTACTTGGGGCTGATGTGCACTCAGTGAACAACTAGAACAGTAAGGGAATGACGTCAAGCAGTGATGCCTGCTGTCAGTGCAGCACGGAGGAGTGCTGTGAATGGGAGGAACTGGGGCAGGAAGTGCCAAAGCCCTGAGGTCTTACCCAGCTTAGTTCAGTCAGGACAAAGGGGTCCGTGTGGCTGGAGCCTCATACCTAAGGGCTGGTGAGCAGCCCAGCCTGAGACTGGGGAGGCAGCAGAGACCCAGGCACGTGGGCTTTAGGGGCGGGCCTTACCAAGGAGTTTGGTTTTCACTCTGTGTATAAAAGAAAGTCAATGCAGATCTAGAAGCTGCAGGTAAAGAAAAGGAGGAGAGGGCTCAGCAGCCTTTGGAGGAAGAGTAGACGTCCTGGGGACTGTGAGCACCAGAGGACTGTGGGTCAGTCCCTTGCTTTGCAGTAGAAGTAGAGGAAGTGGTCCTGAGGAGACCCCACAAAGGCCCTTGAATGCCAGGCCAAGGACCTGGGGCTTACCCAGTAGGAAAAGAGAATTCACTGACACAGCAAATTCAAGAAAAGATCGTGACCCAAAGGAGGCTCTGGGTATTGATCTGAGGGTGACATGAAGCACAGATTTAGGAGGACATGCATCACCCCGGCAGTGGGGAAGGCTGGTGCCCAGGCACACTGCGCATTATATAAGACACTTGCAGAAAGAGTCCAAGACAACACAAACTTCTTGCTTTCAGACTTTCTAGCTCCCGGACTCACTCTCTGTGCAGCCTGAGGCATTTGGACGATGCCACCTGGGTGAGATGTGAATGGGTAGCAGAAGAGCGAGGGCACAGCGGTGGGAACGTGGCCTTAGTTTCCCGTTCTGCACTGAGGTCCTAGTTTTTGTTCACTGGTGTCCCTCCAAGAGCAGACAGCACAGCTCCGTGCCCCACAGGGCTGGCTCTTGAAGAGGCTGGTTGATGGGAGCCGTGTGAGGTGAGGGTGGGGAGTGGAGCAGAGGCGTGGGAGGGGCCTCGCTGTGGATGGCTGTGGGGCCCGAGCGAGGAGGACTGGGAATTATAGGCAGTAGGGAGCCCCTGGTGGCTGTTGAGCGGGGGTGGGCGTGGGAAAATGGATGTCTTAGGAACATTTGCTTGGTGGTGGTAGGCAAGATAGCTATAAGAGCATCATTTTGATAATGGAGCCAGGAAAGCGCAGTAGGATTTTTTAAAGTCATTACCTATAAATGTAGGTCTTCATTCAAAAGGGATTGTATGGATATATGCATACTTATGTTTCTAAATGTGGAGGAAGCATAGTGTCTAGAGGAACATAATGATACTTTTGAGTTTTGGTCAAAAAGATATTATATGGCTCTAAATTGCTTCTGCATATGTGACCATATTTTATTCTCATTACAGGTAAGAGATGAGAGAATGCAAGCAATAATCCCATTTTCTGGTGGGAAAATAAGCCAGTGTTTAAGCACCTCCCATGGCTGTAGATAGCCAAAGAGGACAGAGCCTAGAATCCTCATAGCTTCAGGTCAGTGGGGCTGATTCTGCCTAGTGGTCTCTGCTTTCTTCACTGGCTTGTCCAATAGGAAACTAAGCCATCATGGGAAGGTCCTACATCTCAGCTGTCCACTCCAGCATCATTAAAGAAAAAAGTATTCAAGGATGCTTGTGAAAGCACAGTCAGGCTGACTTTATTCAAGGGAAGCTATTGCCTGTCTAGGAGCAGGGACCATTGTGATGGGCTTCTCGGTGAGGGCGGGGAGAGACTGGGCTGGACTCTGAAAACGGCAAGGACACATGGTCAGGTATAGCCACAGAGCAGGTGGGAGGGCCTGTGGGTGGAACGTGACTAGTTGGAAACCTCAGGAATGGGGGATTCTGGCTAAACCAACCTAACAGGACTTTTGGTGAAGTCAGGCCAGGACGATCAGGCATCAGTGGCAGGAATGGGGAGGGGATGAGGTGCCAGATTAGGCGGGGGGGGGGTGCTCAGATGATTCGCTGTTGGAGGGGGGGATTCTAGCTAAACGGACCTGGGAGAGTTCCTGCTAAAACTGGACAATGCCGAGATGAACGGGGATCTGAAATCAGGCCTCGCTGGAAAAGAGCTCGGGTAGCCGGAGTAGAGTTTGGTCCGGGAGAGAGCCTTTGTCAGGAACCACTGGCTGCATATGGCTTTCATAAACTTGAAACCTGGGTGGGGCGACCAAAGAGTTTTATTTTATTAAATTTTAATGAATTTAAATGTAGATGTGAACACCTGTCTGTGGTTGCCGGTGGCGTCCTGAGCCGCCGCCTCGGGGCCTGGGCACTCGGCCCTGCTGGGGCTGCTTGGCTGCAGCTCAGTCGGCGCTTGGGTAGCTTTTCTCAGGCTTGTGGCCAGAGAAACATCCTTGTAATGGGGAGGCAGCAGGAGGCAGCAGGATATTGCTTCGGGGTCTTTCAAGGCATATTTGATGCGTTAAAAGTCTCCGGTGGGCCAGGTGCAGTGGCTCAAGCCTGTAATCCCAGCACTTTGGGAGGCCGAGGCAGGCGGATCACAAGGTCAGGAGATGGAGACCATCATGGTTAACACGGTGAAACTCCGTCTCTACTAAAAATACAAAAAATTAGCCAGGCGTGGTGGCGGCGCCTGCAGTCCCAGCTACTCGGGAGGCTGAGGCAGGAGAATGGCGGGAACCCGGGGGGCGGAGCTTGCAGTGAGCTGAGATCGGGTCACTGCACTCCAGCCTGGGCGGCAGAGGGAGACTCCGTCTCAAAAAAAAAAAAAAACACACACAAAACAAACAAAAAAAACAGCCTCCGGTCATTTGTGGTTGAGCCGTTCTGGATTAAACAAAGGTAAAGGATTTGAAAATCACTCCTTTGTCTTTATTAAAGAAACTTAGAAAGAGACCAGACCTGCCAATCAAGGGGTGAGGTACTGGCCAGGAAGGTGGAGTGGGGCTCAGGCCCTGGGGATTTCAAGTGCAGATCGATGGCCTGGGAGGGGCCAAGGAGACCAGATCCTGGCAGCAGCTGAGGAGGTGCCCAAGGGCACTTTCAGGCACTGGGGCCATCAGCTGGTTCTGTGGGCAGGGGTTGGGGGTTGGGATGCAGGGTAGTTTGGGCTGGCCTGGAATCTCTCTGAGGCCACCCTGCCTTGTCTACCTAGATCATCCACTGGTCCTGATCCTGTTCGTTGCCTTCCATGTCCACCTCATTGACCTCTCCGTCATCAGGCGACTCATTGTAGTCATTCATCTCGTCCATGTCCTGCATGTCCTCATCATCCTCTGAGTCCTCTTCACTATCCTCATCGTCTTCATCATCCTCTTCTTCCTCGTCATCATAGTGCTCTGAGGCTGGCTTGCCAATAGGAACCAGGTTGTTGTCTTTCTCTGCGATGCTTTGGAGCAGCCTAGAAAGCGTCATCTGCTAGATCCTCAATAGTCAAAATTATTTCCTGTGCTTTAGGGAAAAGAGCTTGGGCTGAGTGTCAGCAGCCTGGGCTCTAATCTGAAGACATTGAGGCCCAGAGAGGTTAAGTGACTCAGCCAAGGTCAAACAGCTATCTAGGAGCCATGTCCACTTTGTTCCCCTCACTCTTCCCTCGTGTGACTGAGACACTGTGGTTTAATCTGGATCGACCCTGTGTGGAAGAGACAGAGCTGCAGCAGCAGGAACAGCAGCATCAGGCCTGGGGGTACCATGTGACTTCTGGGTAAAGGACTTCTTTACTGCAAGACCTGCTTGAGTCTTTTCTGTGCTGACCCTCTTAAAGCCCTAAGGGAAAGAGACTCAGGAAAACATGTTTCTCAAATTCATGACAATAAACCCATTCTCACAGGACGCGGAGTATACGAGGAGGTATATTTTGGACGTTTCTGGCTTCAGACTAAGAAAAATGTGACTGAACGCTTTATTGTCCGTGTGACTTTGAACTATGGGTTAACCTTGCTGGTCTTCAGTTCCTTACTCACGGAGTGTGCTAATGGCATCTCCCAACTCAGAGGGTCTCTGTGAGGATGGGCCAGGCTGTGTGGTTCTGGGGGTGACTAAGACACTGTCCCCGTCTTCCGTGAGCCCCAGGTGCAGTTAGTCATGGGAATGAAGGATACAGAGAAGTGTAGTTCTAACAGAAATGGCACAGAGCCTGCTGCGGATATCGGGGTCAGGACCTCCTCCTGTACCTTCCTTCTCTCCCTCTTACTTAATGCCCTGCGGCTTCCTGAGTGGGTCTGCGTTTATACAGCGATGCTCCAGGGGGCAGTCTGCCATCCCTCCTCTGTGGTGCTTGCAGACTTCTGGTGATAGGTCTGGTTTTCCTTTGTCTGGTGGATAAATTGATGTCATTGGTGATTTTTAATGTGCAGATGTTGGACAGGATAGGGACAACTGTCGATAGAGAAGGACAAACAACTGATGCCCCAAGCCCTCAATCACTGAGTTTCTAGAAAGGGATCTCTTCTATTTTTATTCTTTCAACTTGAGTTATTGCAGTTTTGTGTTTAGCCTGGAGGACTGAGGGACAGGACACAGAGCCAAAGAGGACTACTGCAGAGCCCTACAATCTGATGGCCTTTGCCTTGCTGGGTTTTGAATTTGCTTGGAGCCTGTTGCCCTTTCCTCCTTCCCTACTCCTCTCTTGGAATAGGAGTGTCATTCCTGGGCCTGCCCCGCCTTTGGATTTTGGAAACACATAACTTGTTTGACTTCACGGTTCACAGCTGGCCAGGAACGTTGCCTGAGGATGAACGGTGCCTTGAGCCCTACGCACTCCTGACTTAGGCGCTGTATGGACGAGGCTCTGGCATTCAGCTTCAGAGCTCATGCCGGCGCGAGTTTAGACCTTTGGGGCTGCTGGGACGGTATGAATGTGTTTACCTGTGAGAAGGACATGGATGTGGAGGACCGCAGTGAAATGTTATGGACTAAGTGTTTGCGTTCCTCGCAAAGTTCTCATGTTGAAGCCCCCAACCCTCAATGTGATGCTATTTAGAGATGCAGTCTTCAGTAGGTCATTAGGGTTAGATCAGGTCGGGTAGGGCCTTCGTGATGGGTTCAGTGCTCTTCTAAGAGGAGGCTCCAGAGAGTTCTCTCTCTCTCTCTCTCACTTTCTCTCTGCCATGTGAGGATACAATGAGAAGTCAGCCATCCACAAGCCAGGAGGAGGGCCCTCACCAGAACAAGACCAGGCTGGTACCTTGATTGTAGACTTGCAGCCTTCAGAAGCGGGAGAAAATAAATGTCTGTTGTTTAAAGCACCAGACTGTGGTATTTTGCTACCTCAATCTGAGCTGGCGATGACGCCCACCTAGGACCCTGCGTTCCCTTGGGCTGAGGTTGTGTCTGCTGCTGGTCTCCAGGGCCTGGCAGAGGCCTGACATGCAGTAGGCGCTGAGCTAGTGCTGATGAGCCCCAGCTCCGGGGAAGCCCGCACATTCCCAACAGCACACGGTTTTTAATGCCTGTGAGCTCATGTCCTGGCAGAGCAACTGATTAGGAGGTGGTTGTTTTTGAGAGAAAGGGCAGAAAAACAAACAGATTTGTTTTACTTAAAAAATAATCTCCTTTATAAAAGATGGGAGGGAAGTCCAGGGATGAGGGGAGAGAGAGGAAGCCCCTGCCTGAGTGCAGAAGGCAGGTCTGTGCCTGCCAGGAAGGGGAAGGTGGGGGAAGAATGAGATACTGGTGGTGTGGGGCTCAGACTCCAGCCTGTTCTCCTCTGGGATTGCCTTCCTGGCATATGAGAGCTGGAACCTGCCAGCTGCCCTCATTTCTCCACCTGCTGTCCTGGCTACAAAGTGACTTCCCTCCCTGAGTTTGCTTTCCTCTCACTCTACAAGAAACCCTCTTCCCTAAGGGCACCAATCTGGTGAGTCGCTGGTCACTGATTCCTAAGACTGCAGTGTGGACTCAATCCATAAAACCGAGTCTCCCAGGACAGCCCTGTACCATGGAGGGGAAGAAGAACCTGCCATGGAAGGGAGCGTGTGGAGTCCCTGTGGCGAGGAAGGCACTGCCCCACCCAGGTGCATAGTCTCCTTGAGCGACTCTAGGAAATAAATCCCTGGAGAAGAAGACTTCCAGGACTCATGCCTCCACGAAGCCTCTGCTGCCTCATAAAAATGCGAACTGGTGTGTCTGCATCAGTCCACACTCCAGAGACGCGAAGGAGTGGTGACAGTCAGCACCCCGGATAATCAAGGTGGCCTCAGCCGGACCCTGCCCCACACTCAGCCAGAATGAGAGCAGAAGGAGAGAAATTGTGAAGTTGAAAGTCTGCTCTCCTCGGGTCGTAAGTTCTTGCAGCCTCTGCCGGGGATGCAAAGAAGAGACAGCCTTGCCATGAGGGGTGTCACGGCCTCCAGCCTGCAGCCCAGGAAACCATGCTGCTCCCTGCCCACTCAGCAAAAGCCAGGTTGTCATCATTCCTGATTCGACAGGGTTTAAGAGATGAGGTGGACTCCTCCCCCCACTCAGGTCTCTTCAAAGGTTTCTCAGTAGGTGTGGCCAGATGGGTCATCATCATCGTGGCTAGGCAAAATTTAGAAATCTGAGTTGGGTCAAGCTGAATGATACTTACAAATTATCACGGCCCTGGCTCTATATTAGGAATGCCTGATAATGGAAAAATAGGTATGTATGAAGGCAGGCTGTGTGGTTGTGGAAAGAGTCAGTTTGTCCCAGGTTCAAATTCAAATTCAAATTCATTATTTAATTAAATGTGAAGTCTTCTGGAAGATGCTCAACCTCTGTGAGCCCCAGTGTCCTCATCTGTAAAATGGGCTTGTAGTCCTGCCCCACGGCATTTTTGCACAAGTTAAATCGGATCTAGCATGAGGACATTCCTTTTCGCCACACAATACTGGCTCACACATTGAACTTGGAAGGTAGCCCATTTATCCGAGGCAGTAGCATATGGCTGGCATGAATTTTAAACACTTTCAAGTAAGATTCAGAATTCATCCTTTTTAGTGAATTTAAAAGAAAATCATGACAGAGCAACTTCCAGGCAACAACCAGGATGAGCCCTTCTTTCAGACCCTTCTTACAGACGTCAGATGACGACAGCTCTTGGTTCGGCATTTTTCTAAGCCCCAACAAACACTGCACACCAGCAGCGCCTATGTTCAGAATCATACAATTACTGCATGTAAGAGGGGCCAGCTCTGTCTTTGAGTCAGGAGGTGCCTTTTCGATATATAAGGTCCTAAGCGTATTCCCGTGTTGCTCCCTCCATGAAACAGAATGGCCATCCATGGAAGAATCCTCAGTGCAGAAGCAGCTGTTTCAGTGGGAAGACCCTGCTTTGAAGTCAGAAGCTCCACGATCAAACACTGGCTTCACCAGCTGTGTGACTTTGAGAAGGTTGCTTAGCATATCGGATCCTCTGTGCCCTCAATTATCAAATGAGGCTGAAAACGACTCCCAGGCCTGCTGTGAGTGTTACATAATATAATGGATTAAACATTTGGGCCTAACACCTGACACACAGCGAGCACCCAAAGGTGCTCTGACTTCTTTGGTGTATCAGTGACATTATTTTAAACGTGTTCTTGTGTGAAGAAGCGGCCCAGAGACAGGCGAAGCTGCGGTCTCATTTCTGCATCCCTGGGCACGCCTTGCCTTTGTGTGCACAGACTCACTTTGCCGCCTTGTGCTCAGCTTGTGGAGTGCTGTCATTCTATTCTAACTCCTTTCCAGCGCCCTGCCTGGGTGCAGGAGGGATTCCCTAGAGGCCTACTATATTTTATTGCTTGGGTTCACAAAACCCAGTAATAAATGGTCGTATGTTGATGATGAGGCTGCTGACGGACTCATGGAGTGTGGTAAGGAAGCTACCCTATCCTAGCACCCTAGTATCCTGGCAGACCTTTGAGGGCACTGGCACCGGCGGCGGGGGTGAGAGTCCTGGTCAGGGCCCCCGTTGCCTTGTGTGATATTTGGAAGGCACCTGCTCCTTGGAGCCCAGTTCCTCACTTGTAAAATGGGAATGTAATGCTTCTTATTTGCTGCTCTGTATGGAGTGGATACATAAGACTAAAACGCACAGAGAATCAAACACAGGTGTTCTGTCCCCTGTCATCAATAGTGGCCTTGTTCTAAGAGTCCTCATATTGTGAACATGAATGATAGAAATTATAGGAGGAAGAATAACCCATGAATGATACTAAAGCCACTCCATTTCTGTCCTGGGAAGGTCTCCCAACTTTTACATTCCTCTTTTTCATCCCAGAAAGTGAGACTTTTGTGAAGTAGGAGCCCATGCCGGCTCTGCCTCGTTTTGTTGTTGTTTTCTGAAGGACGACCTGTTATCTCTTTAGATTAGTAGCAATAATACTGATGATAATGGCAATAATAATAGCAGTTTATATTTCTCGAATACAGGGTGCTAAGTAGACACGTTTATATTACATAGTACCCTACATAGTAGCGGTTGCCGTTCTCATTTCACAGACAAAAAAAAAAAGTCTCAAACATGTTAAGTGGCTGAATTCCAGGCTACTCAGTAAGTGAATGGCAGAATACAAATTCATAGCTACTCAGTCTGGGGACAAAGCCCAGTGAACTTTCTTCTTCCGCATTATGTGGTTTTTTTGTTTGTTTGTTTGTTTGTTTTTTGTTTTTTGTTTTTTTAACAGGGACCTCCCTTTTGGTCTGATACTTCCAGCATCCTGCACAGGGTCTGGCCCTTTCTAAGAAGGTGTTGAATGAATGAATGAAGGAAGGAATGCGTGCCTGAATACATCAGGGGCTTAATTCAAACTCTCTTGCAACCATGACTCATTGAGAGTCATACTTTTGGTTCCGGCCAAATTAACATATTTTTCTCCTGCTTGGCTGTGCATTCCCTAGGGACAAATGACTCTGATGCACCGACCCACTTTTTATGCTTCCAGCAGCTCCTGCCAGGCAGGGAGGCCGCTGTGCTCATCTGGCTCTTAGAGTACGTCCTAGAGCTGAACCCAGACAGGAGGCAGGAGCACAGACACTTCCACGTTGCCTACCTCTCTTGCAATGTGTGCAGGAAACCGGGAGATTAATAGACCATGGGGCGGTGACGTGGAGAGATGGAGGCCCCAAGGCAGGCACGGTCACCAGATTGCCCCAGAGCAGCGGGAGCTGTCTTGAACTGTTCCTCCTGCCAGAGGACTATCCTCCCCTCGCGACCTTGGCTGAACAGCTAGTGGCTTTCTCAGGGCTCTCTTTTGTTAAAAACAGGAAAATAACCCAGATTCAAGTATGAACACGACTGTCTTTGTGAGAGCTTCCTGCCTAGGGACCTTTCCCTACCTTGAGAGAGAACAGAAAGACCACATACAGAGCGTCTGAGGTGCTCGGCTTGGAGAGGGAGTTGAGTCCACAGGAGCTTTTATTATTGACCTTCCAGTGAAATTGAACTGGGCCACCTCCCCTCCACTGCTAGAATGCTGTGAATCCTCATGGCACAATTACACCCAGCGTCTTGCTCAAGGTCATGGTTAGGAGGCGACCCAGCCTGCCCTGGAAGCCCAGCCTGCACCCCGCCTGCGGGTTTTAGACGGACCCAGGGCTGCTCTGTGCTTCCCTGAGCACGTTATGTAACAATCTCATTAACCAGCCACGGCAGGCCTATTTTCACATCGATTTAAGTGTGAAAAGACTCAGGTTCAGACAGGTAAGAACACATCCCAGCTCACAAAATTGGCAAAGGTGTGTGCCCAGGTGTGTCCGAGCCTTTAACCCTGAGCTGTCGTTTGTGACTCTCTTGCTGCACCGCGTCCTCCTACTGTAAGGTGAGGAGCTCTCCAGGCTCAACAGCTGCAGGTGCAGGGATGGGTCTCTGTGGGGGGTTTCTGGTCTCCTTAGGAAGCCTGACCCATGAGATCCTTTTGGTTTTCCATCCAGCCTTCACAAAGATCACGGCAGAGCCCTGACTGCAAGTCTCTCTGAAAAACTCACGGCTCTTGTTGACCCCCCTTTAATTAAGAGACAACCCCAGAGGCTGCTGAAGCCCAGGCCATCCAACTTCTAGAATAAGTCACCAGCTGAAGGAGTAAGGGGCTGAATCAAAGCCTGAGGGTCAACGCAGAGAGAATCTACCTTTCACAGTGAGAGCCTTGCTGTTCCAGGATGGGGGAAGCAGGGGTGATGGGTGATTTTACTCAGAGGTGCATGTGCTGATCTTGACAGATAGAAACGTGCGCTTCTGTCTTTCTCATTTTGACAATGAGTCACGAAACAAAACTGTGTCTTCTCCTCTTTATCTGCACGCACACTATTTAGCAAAGGGCTGGACACAGGGTGGGCGTTCCCATTAATGGCTTGTTCAGTAGTAAAAACCAAATTTGTCTCAGGTTCATTCATTCATTCATAAAATATTAACTTAGGTAATTAGCTAAGAAATTGACAGTAAACTGAACGTTGTTGTTAAAATTGTCATGTAAAAAAGCCATGATACTTTCTTGTAGGACACAGCCTGGCAGAGACAGCCAATAATTAAAGAAGATACTTAAGTGTACAGTAGAACAAGACTCACCAGGTGTCTGGCCTATTCGGGGACCAAGGAAATGTTTGTAAAGAGCGTGACTGTTCAGTTGATGTCTGACTTGATTAAGTGAAGAGGGGAAAGAAACATTCCAGAGGGAACAACATGTGCAAAGGCCCTTTGGCAGGTGGGAGCGGGTGCTTAGGAAAGACTCAAAGATGGTGTGTGGGTGGAACAGAGAGAGAGATGGTGCCCAGGAGGCTGAGGAGGTGCAGGAGGGAAGTGAAAGACCAGACAGAACCTGTATACTCTGTTCATGAGGTTGCTTTGTCTGCTTTTAAAAAAACCTTTAACTATCTTTATCCATGAAAGTGTTGAATGATGTTAAACACGTTAAAGAGGCACCACATGTTCGCTGGCATTATCCCGTGTGTGTGCGTCTTTTACACATCATGCTGCCTGCAGTTGGAAGAGGTCAGAGAGGGCTTGAGGAGACCGGTTTAAAGACCTGCTGCCGCAGTCCAGGAATGAAGGAAGGTGGCTTGGACCAGGTGGAGGTGGTGGGGGCAGTGAAGAACAAAGGAGAGATTAGTATGTTCGGGAGGTAAAGCCACAGTTCCTGTATGTACAGACAGAATCTTGGCTGGTGCAGGGTTCTTGGCTGCCCTTTTGAGCAGCTCTCAGGCAGGGACAGAATCTGCTCACTCAGTTCTGGTACCCAGAATACCAGCTCCGCCCTCTGCGTAGTTGTGGTGAAACATTCATACCAGGCAGAATGTCTTACTGGAACAAAGCACTGCTGTTTGTCAAGGTCAAGTTTCCTTTCTTCCACTATCCATTTTCCAAGGCCTAACTCAGGCCCTCTCCATCCAGGAACCCTCTGTAGCCATCACAACCCTTGGTGACTGCTCCTGTCTCTGAACTATGTGAGAGATTCCGGGTTCACTTCTCTGCAACTCACCTCAGCCCTGAGAGCTGGTACAGGCTGGGTGCAGGGCACCGTCCTGCCTGGGCCTCGCTTTCCTCCTTTGTCAAATGAAGAGGAAGGACCGATTCTGTTTAATGTCTGCCTGGCTGTGCAGTTGGCTGTTCCCATGACGAGTGTGCACTTTGAAGGCTCTGTGGAGACTCGTGAACCCTTCTCTCTTAATCTGTCTTTTGAAGGTGTGCCCAGTTCCGTCATAGCTGTATCTCCTTGTGCGTCAAACATGGCTTACACTCCTCTGCACACCTCACAGTGGGTGCACAGTGAGCGTTTGCTGATTTGATTTGATGTGCTTTGATTTGACTTGACTTGAATGTTGGCTTCAAGGCCAAGATCAGAACCAGGCAGCCCGGGAAAATCTGCCCAGTCATGACCTGAGCTCTGGCTATCGGTCACTGCTGTTGGGATGTGGCATGGGCTAAGTCAGCAGCAGAAAAAGATGCGGATGGTATGAAGTGGGGTTGGGGGTTGTACTTGAGCTGAGATAGGCAGAGGGGAAACTGCAGGAATCAGCCCATTAATTTTATATTTAGTTTTGTAATGCAAGCACATAGTTACTCGACAAAACAACACTGAAAAGATCATGAGATAAAACAGCAGATTCCACTGTATCCCTTCCAAGCACCCATTCCAACATTTTTGGCTTTCTTCTTGCACTTATAGTCATATTCTGCAGTAGAGGCTGGCACTACTGCTTCTGTATGAATCCGTCTCACACGTTATTAGTTGCTGCTGCTTTGTGTAAGATTCAGATTCAGCCCTCTTGCATCTCCCCGACATCCCTCGCCTGCTTCTTCCTCCCACACCCCAAGGTCTCCATCCTTCCAATCCAGTCCCTCTCCTTTTTCATTACACCCATGCTCACTGTGCTCCACACTCATCTGTCTCATCTAAAGTGTGTTTAGGTGCACAGGTCATGGGTCCCAGGCACCTGCAGAGGGACGGCTGCCTAGGAGAGTCCTGCAACAGGGAGGAATTGCATCCCTACCCCGCCTTCCCTCACATTCTGTTGAGTTTTTGGGCACATGTCATTTGGGAGCTGGGGACAGTACATTTTTCCCTAGGGACAGATGTATTTGGGTTAACACTCTAAGCACTGGGGAATATCTTTTTTCTTTCATTTTGTGAGTATAAGGCCAATATTTTGATATTTGTATATGTTCTATTTAGTGGTCATATTCATAAAAATGCATCCAGAGGTTATGGGCTGAATTCCTCTGGCTTTGGGCTTGATGAAGGAACCAACCAGATATCATTTCTGGTTGAAGACAGGTCATGTTACAGCTGCTGAAGAACATCAGCACTCTCCAGGCTCTA